ACCTTGATGTTGCTTAAGAATGTTTTTAAAAGTTAATAGTGGAAGAGGTTAAACTCCAGAGAAAAAAAGTTGGCCCATGGGAGGATCGAACTCGCGACCTTCGCGTTATTAGCACGACGCTCTAACCAACTGAGCTAATGGGCCCACATTTTCCACAGTTGGGTCTCTATTTCCAGAGTATTCTCCAATCGGATCGAATGCTTGCATGCGGTGACGCAAAAACAACGCGTACACCGAATTTTGGTGAATTACCGTACTTCCTCAAAAAAAGATTCGGTCACTTAATTCAAAAACTGTTGTCGAATGGTTCCAGTTTTCAACAATACTGTGGTTTATAAATGTTTAAATAACTACCTACCTATAATTTTGCCAATTTTTCTACAAAGCCTTTCTTGCAATATTTCAGATCTAAACCTTATCGAATTGTTATCAAAGGAAGTTTTCTATAGCATAATAGGGAAAATGTCGACCAACAAATTCAGGTTGTGCACAAAATTAGAGATTCGAGGTGGACTTTGGTTACGAACAATTCCACTATTTTGGCCCTTGATGTTTTTATTAGTAGTATCACAGATTTAAGTATATTTAAATCTGTGGTAGTATTTTGATCAATATTACTACAATTACATAGAGGAAAAAAAATGGCCCATGGGAGGATCGAACTCACGACCTTCGCGTTATTAGCACGACGCTCTAACCAACTGAGCTAATGGGCCATGCATTTTCAGCTGCAGCATAAAATTTCAGCCGTAAAAAATACAGGGTGTTTCAGGAGAGAGGTGGTAGTATGGACCATTTTGAATAAAAAGTTCATATATTTGAAATCAAAATAATTCCTGTCTGAATATAATGATGCTCTTGAAATATCTATCCATATAAAATATTGTCTATCAGATAGGTATTCGCCACGTTCCCAAATTTGAAAGGTAGGTATTGTTTCCATCAGTCTGTCTGATCGTACAACTATTTTTTTTAAATTGTGGAGCTGAATTTCTGGTAAGAAAAATTTGAAAAAAAAGATCAGGAAGAACCACACAAAACACACAGTAAAACAATTAAAAAAATTCAAAAAGGGAAATTAGATCGCAATTTCATCACGCAAACATTTATAAACATTGAAAAAAAACACAAACATTTGAAATAAGTAATTCAAAAAATTCTCCAAAAATCATAAAAATCTGAAAAACTTTAAAATCAACAATCGGGAAACCATGAGTCATTTGTGAGAATTTGATGATTTTGAAGAAATTAACGAATTCGGCGAAACTGAAGAATGGGAAAGGTACAAGAAAATTTCGAAAGTTTCTGGCAACTTCGAAAGCGAAAGGGGACTTTCACATCGCCACCCAATCAGAAGCGAGAGCACCCCTTCATGTGCATCTCGCTAGAAAGTATAAAATCACTTTCTATCCTACACCTTTTATCATTTGCAATTGTGTAGTGGTGCAGAATGTTTTCGTTAATAGCTTTCTCGTTACCCGCCCTTTGTGTGCTTCCAGTGGAAATGTTGGCTGAAATTTTTCGGTAAGTTTTACATTGTTTATTGTTTTCGTTTTTCTAACTGTATTTTTATCTTCCAGGTGTTTGGACGACAAGTCGTTGTTGAATGCGGCTTTCGCTAGCAAGTATTTTATGAAGATCTGCAAGGGAGATCCGGTTTTGCGGTGCAGAATTAGAAAGCGCATTATAGAAGAGAAGAAAATATGGAGGGAGATAGTTACTAATGCAAAAATGGGTATCGAAGTTATACGTGAAGAAACCTCTCAACCGTTTGCTAGAAATGTTAAAAAGGTCGTAAAAATACGCCCGCTGCATATTAGAAGACCTGCTGAACAGGAAAGTTTAGAAGCAACGCAATTTAAGCTGGGAGTTGTCAGTTCCAGACGCAATGGCGGAGGAAAATTAAGAGTCAAGAACAATCACAAGGTTCGTGCTGAACCTTACAACGCCATTAGATGTTAATGTACTATCTTCTGTATACTATATTATGACAATAATGTAACGTTTGCAATTAGAATAAATTATAAAGTATAACATTGTCTTTTTGTGAGTTCAAATTCCTTTATCATGAAAGAGAGGACGAGGGGCTAAGATTTGGGGGAGACTTTAATACCAAAACAGGAATTAAAGGAAAATGGGCAGAGAAGAAAAACACAAGATACAAAAATTAAAAGATAATGAATGCAACAAAAAGGGGAAAATTGTAACTGGAGTTATCAGCGGGCAATTCACATATTTGGGAGGAATTGGACAAATACTGGAGGAAATGGATGAATTTAGGATCGGAACAAGGATAGGATTGGGTCATCAAACGCTGAAGATCAAGAAATAAAAAAAAAACAAATACGAACGGAGGTACAGTTATGAACGCGGTCGCGGTGGAGCTGTATAGAGGGAGACTGGAGGAACAAGAAAAAGAGAATATTAAAAAATCAGTAACGTGGAAACAAATAATTGAAGGGAAGGGGAGAGAAAAAAGAAAGAAGCGATGGAATAGAGAGACATAGATATAGAAAAATGACGGAGCAGGAAAGAAGAGGGAAATAGAAGAAAAAAGGCGAGAGAACAGAAAACAGGATACGAAGAATCGCATACGATTTTCAGTAGGGGATTTTTTGCCACTTAGCTCATATTTGGAAACTAGACTTTTAATTCGGCTCATATTAAATAGCACTAATCCTTGAATCGTAGAAATCGATTGGCGAAGGTTTGACATCTCTATATCTTTTCGTTCTCGAGTTAGACGAGAAACAGGCGGACAAAATCATCACTTAAGGGAATATGTTTTCTTTCGAAAAATTCTAAAAAGGTAGAAAAGGAAATGTAAATCAAAAAAGATGGAGAAACAGAAAGAATACGAAAAGCAAATCAGGGAAATAAAAACAGAAAAACTAGAAAAGGTAGGTGACAAACAGAGAAAAAAAGAAAAATAGAACAAGTGGGAGAGGGATACAATGAAAACAACATTTTATCAAGGTACTATATAAAGAAAGATGGGAGATGGGAGAGGAAGTTGAAGGAGCTGGGATAACAAGAGAAGAAATCGAGCAGCTACTAATAAAAGACTGAAGAATGGTAAAGTTGCATGGAGAGACGAGATAGGAAATGAGGCTTGGATTTTCGCTACATACAGTGTAAAGGAAAGAAAGAGATCTAGTAAACGAAATATGGAAAGGAAGGGGATTACCCGAAGAATGGAAGGAAGGAGTAATGGTTTCGATTGTCAAAGAAGGCGACAAAGATTATGTAGAAAATTATAGGCGAATCACGATAATGACGGCGGCGTATGGAATATACCCAATGGTACTGAATGTAGACACAAGAATGAGGGTATGAATAGAATGGGGAGGTATTGAGAAAGAAAAGGAATCGGAGTTAACTGTAGAAAGGTCAAAGATTATGAGATCCTGAAGCTAGAGGGGATGGAAGGAAAAAGATGAAAATGGAGAACATAATGATAGCGTCGGGACGCAGTGTAGTGAGGGTCGAGGAAAGGAGTGTAAAGAAAAATAATTGGTGAAATAATGCTTGACAACGAAGATGAACGCAAAAGAAATGTAAGAAGAAGAAAAAGGAAAATATGAAAGATATGGATACGGGCAGACTGAGATCATAAGGAGGAGAGGAGTAGGAGAAAAGGTGGACAATGAGCTGACAAAAAGGAATCTGGAGGCACAAATACAACAACAGAAGGTGAAGATAGAGAAAGCACGAATAAGTAGCAGATACAAAGATCTAAGAAGGGAGTGGTTACCAAAATATGGATGGGGGGGAATAAAAAATATTAAAATAATGGCGAGATTCAGATGTGGAAATGAGGAGAAAGAGAAACAGAGAAAAGAAGGAGAAAGAAAATGTAGAATAGATATGGGTATTATACGCAAAGATATGAACTCTTACAAAAGAGGCGTGTAAATCGCAGAAAGTAGGGGACCAAGTCGGGAACCCTGAGGTACTCCCGACTGCACTCTGACAACATTTGGTAGATAATTTCCGATGCACACTATCTGTTTTCTATTACACCAATGTCTAGAAGTGCTCCAGAATAAGCAAACCCGGCACGAAATCCAGATTGCGTAGATATAGTTACTCAATTGAACAGCAGTAATTTTGAAAGATCGAGTCTTATACTTATAGGCCACTTTTGCAATTGGTTTCAGCAAAGAACACTTACATAAAAATTCAATGAGTGGTGTAGTGAGAAGTGAGTAGTGGGTTGAAATATTAAACATCTGATATCATGGTATTACAAACAAAACACAAAGATCACAAGATAGAACAAAATTTACAGAGGAATCCTCAATTTTAACAAAAAAATGCCAACGTTCGGCCCATAGTTTGTACCAAGGCACAATTTCTTGAACAGGTGCATTTGAAAGCATAATCACCATCGAATACAATTCGGTGCACTGTAATTGTTTTCGAGGTCACTCGTTCCAAAATGATGCACACAATTTTATTTTACTCATTATTTGGTCGTAACTTGTAAACCATTCCCCTTACCTCTATTTACTGTTCACTCACAATTAATTATCGTAGACTGAACTCGAATAGGAATTTTAGGATTACCGGTGTAAACGTCAGTCGTCAATATTAAAATCTCCACTGAATACAAATACTGTAATAACGAATTCGAAATACCAACAGCGCTTTTGATGTTTAAATCCCTGTTAACAATGAAATAACCGTAAATATCAATAAAAGTAAACAATCTATTGTAAACACACTGACATTAACAAACAATAATGTAATATGCCCATTTTTTATTGACATGAACGGTTATAACTCATAATGCGCTTACAATAGATAGGCATAAGGCAACGCATTTTAGGCTTCTGGCCTGATATATCACAATAAAATTGTTACTATTTCCGTTTGGCGATAAACTGTTAATTTTTTACCTCAAGGTTGCATTGTTTCTATTTCAGTATTCGATTAACATTAACGTATACTTATCAACGTGACCGTTCAAAGATAGAATAACTTTGCGAATTTTGCAGGAAAATGGAACCATCGCTTTTGGAAGAAAGCACCTTGAGGGACCAAGTTGCGACACTTCCAGGTGGTAAAGATAAAGAGGGGCGTCCAATTCTGTTAGTTACCATTCCCACGGAGGCAGCGCCGGCGGATATTGGTCCTTCGTTAAGATATTTACTTTCGGTATTTAGGTAAGTGTTATATATTGCAAACGACCTTGTTTGGACACACGTAACCTGTCTTAAAATACAATATACATGTTTTGCCATTTATTTATCGCCGAAAGATAATTGTAATCGCCAATCGGTATAATTACGTATTATGTAAAGGAAAGTTTTTAAGAGTCACTTAACTCGTGTTTTTGTTATTCAGAGTAGATGACATTTAGAGGCGCACCTCGACTTGTGCGTGTGCTTCTCCCAAATTCCGCATTTTGGTGTGTAGATTAGATTATCATTGTGGTGTTTTTTTCTTCTTCTTGAAATGTGAACACTTTTACTACCATTACCATTCATGTGGAGCAGTTCCATATGGGTACAAAATAGTACTAGTAAGAGGACTTTCGATTTTGGGATGTGAGGGAGGGAGAGGGTGCAGTTCTAAGTTGGTACCACGCACATTTTTAATCTTTGCAAAATGTAAGAATCGAGTCAATTTCTATTATTTTTTGCAACTTATGTATAGATATTTAGAATTATAGTGGGTGCTAATCGAACTAGTGGCGGATGATAGAATCTGGATATAACAAAAGAATTGGGAGAAAATAAATATTTATGGAAAAACCAATTTGCGAAGAGAGACAACATAAAAGGACGATCAAAATGAGGTAGGGGTAAAAAGAGACAAGGATGTGGGGTGATGAAACGAAAGAGGTGGAAGGAATACAGGCCAGATGAGTGGAAATGGAGGGAAAGAATATGAGAGTGATAACAATATACAACAGAAAAGGAATGATGGACTTAAAAAATAAAATAGAAACTAAAATGGGTGGAGATGGGAAGATAGAAAATCAAGAGATAAAGATTTTCACATACATAGGAGGAAAATGGTGGTGGGTAACTGATTACACCACAGTAAATAAAATAGTACGGAGGAAATAGACAAATTTAAATTAGGAACAAGGATAGAATTTCATCACCAACCGATGGAATTGTGTCTAAAAGAGATGATGAGAAGACCAAAAAATGAAAAGACGCAAAGACGAAGGGAGATACCGTAAGGGACAAGAGACATGGTGGAACTGTGTAGAGAAAAACTAAAGAAGCATGGAGAAGAGATTGGAATGAATAAGAGGCAGTGGGGCAATATCTAGGGTAATATAAAGGAGAGTATTAAAAAAAGTCATAACGTAATAAGTATACAAGTAACTGAAGGTGAGGAGAGAGAAAAAAGAAAGGAGTGGTGGGAAAAAAGTGTACAGAAGAGACAAATAGATATAGAGAAATCATGGAGAAAGAAAGAAGAGGGGATATAGAGGAGAAACAAGTGAACAGAAAAAAGTACAAAAGAAAATATAAAGAAAAGAAGATGAAGAAACAGAAAGAATACGATGAGCAAATCGAGGAAATAGAAACGGAAAAGGATTTTTGGAAGGTGATAAACAAAGGGCAAAAGAAAATGGAAGGAATGGAAACTACATTTGTCAAGTTACTACAAGGAAATTAGGAGAGCTATAGTCTATAGAGGAGGTAGGAAGAGAGGAGTGGGAAGGAGATGAGACAACAAGAGAGAAGATCAAGCAGCAATTAAAATGACTGAATCAAGGACAAGCGGCACGCAGAGGCGAGATAGCTAATTAGGTGGATGGAAAGGATGAGAAGTCTAACAAAAAAGGTATTGAAAAGGAGAGGGTTTATCCGAAAAGTGGGAGAAAGGAGTAATTGTGTCGATCTTCAAATGAGGGAAGATTGTGTGGGAAGCTATAAGGGAATTACTATAATGACTGCGGCGTATAGAATCCATGCAACGATACTGAAAGAAAGACTACAAAGAGAATTGGAAGAGAATGTTGGAGGAAACACAAATGGGATTCAGAAAACGGAGGGGAACGATCGACTGGATATATGTATGTCACAGATAGGTGAAAACGAAATTGGAAAAAAAGGACGGAAATGTGTTCGCGTTTTTCATGGATTTCAAGGCAACGTTTGACAGAGTGGAATGGGAATAACTATGGAAGACGATAAAAGATGGGAAAATTGATAAGAAGGTAAAGAACTAGAAACGGTAAGAATGGCAGAGGTGTGTTGGGAATGTAAATGATTAAGACAGGGATAAAAGATTCGGGAACGTGGAGAAGCGTTCGAGAACTTTCGAAAATTATGGGCGTTTGCTATATAAGCAAATTGAATTGTGCTTCGGTTCGTTCTAACAGCATTACCGAAGTGTTCCAACATCGATGCGCTCATGTTATGTTATAAATCGTTAGTAATAAATAACAATTACTGTGATAAATAAATTAATCCATTTCACGACGGTTATAAATTTATTTTTTTTAGTTAAATAAATCACGTAATTAAATTTACGTTACAATATTAATGATTAGAATTCTGTTCCTGTGCCATTTTGGAAGAGCAGTTAAGAAAAGTTGCATACTCTTCCTCCACGCAATGAGTGGTTGGAACCATACGGCTGCATTATATACATACATACAACCAAGCAGCAGGGTTAAATATCTCAAGACTTCCAAAGACCTGAATTTGAAATCATAGGTTACTAAATTTACTTATCTTCCAACCCATCCAAGGGAAATAATGGTTGCTGTGAAAAAATTCTGATTGGGAATTGTAGTAAAAACACCCAAAAGTGTAGTATACGCAATAAAAAATGAGTAACTTTCCACATGTAGACTGTAGGGAGCGTAAACAATGAATTGTTGTAGTAGTTTTTGATCGTTTCGTTTTCTTCCAGTTACACTTACATTACAGTAACTAAATATCACAGGGAATATGAACAAAACAAGAATAATATGAATTACCCTTCGGAATGATTCTACAGCTTCTTCCGATTCGTCATACCCAAATTGATCTTTTTCCAAATTTTATAAAATCCTTCAGTGCTCCAGATTCTTTCGATCCTTCAGCGTTTCACAAATTTTTTGCCAGTTTTAGTGCGTTTACATTCAGGACACCAAGAAAAAAGTTTATAAAGTAAAATTGATTCGCAATCAATGAAGGGCATTAAAGCAAAAATGACACAAACAATGCAATACAAAATGGTAGGCCTAATGGGGCGCCATGCTAACAATATAACATAACAGATGAAAAGTTAAACAATTAATAAACAAAAATAAAAATTATAATACTAAGCAGTAATAGCCATAATTATAGTGACCAGTACAACGTCAACAAATGCAAATATAAAACCGTATGGTATAACGGGAGCCCACGAACTCGACTCGAATTCGATTTGTTACATTTTCGTTAGATCTCTGTTGGTATTTTGTAGTAGGTATATTCTTTTGTATATATTAACCCGTGTAGGGGCTGGAAATAACCCTACCACAGAGGGCCGTCGTAGAAGGCGACTAAACAAGAACCATTAGTCACCCACAACGCCAGCTCTGAAGTTTGGAGGGCGAAGGATGTTTATGGTTTAACAAGATTTTACCGATTAGTTTACATATTGTAGTTCCAGGGGGCGAACCCCAGGATTACGCTCCTGCTTTGGAACCTGTTGTGAGGGAGACTTGGGTTTTCGTGAAATTTATAGGGTTTTGTCTAGTAGTCCACCAAAAATTGTGAATATTCTGGCACCGTATGCGATGTACTACTGGTGACTTAAAGACTTAGATGGTGTAGCATATACTATTGAATTTTTGGCGCATTTTTTAACAATTAAACAAAATGTGCTATTGTTTGCGTTTTGTGCGTCCGTGCGTCCGGACCCACTTCTGCCGTTTCGAACTACTTCTAGAAAAACAAAAAAAGTGACGTAGTCTCACTTTTTGAGACGGTTACGCATACCATAAGAAAATTCGATCTTTCCTTAATAAAGCAGTGAAAACTGTTTTGCATAATAATAATAATAAATTTTTAAAATCTCCCCTGCAAGTTCAATTTTTGACATAAAAAATTGAATATCGAGAAAGCCCTTGGAGCAAAGGGTATCGTTGTATTCCAAATTCGACGTAGAATCCGAAAATGTAGAAAAAATGGGGGGTCCCTATTTAAAATAGCAAAGTTGAGGGCTACTTCCGGTATTTGCGAAAGTAGCGCCAACTTGAAAATATTTTAGTTCAATTCATTATGTGCCAAAACCCTTAAAGGAGTTATCAGTTTAGTTTCATTTTCAAAGGTTCTCCAGATCTTTCTAACTGACGCTCGTCAAGAATGACCCTGTATAGTTGAAAGATTTTGCCCCTATAACCTGATCTCTTATTTGCAAGAAAAATTACCCATGTAGTCTCAATGGATCTGGGACACCCTGTATATATTTATTTGTACCCAAAGCTACAATTTGAAGTATCCAAAGTTACTTCCCGTAATAAATCACTGATTTACAGGAAAGGCACACTTGCTTATCAACAAATGCCGACTAAACTTAGATATTATGATGCAGTTAATGCAAGTTGAATGCACTTACTTTTAGGGGAATGCAATCGGTTGATGACACATGCACTCTTTTCTTATCTTATTCAGTTAATCACTGTTCTAATATGTTTATTTACATACTGCATTGCCCAACAATGACTATACTGAAGGTAATTAATAATTTTGTGAATATGGTAATAGTATTATCCTATTTTGCCACTAGAATGCAAAGCCGAGCTTATGCAATTTTTCATGTGCAAACAGTTTGAGACGATTTGTTCCGCCACAGGCCAGTTTCCGACAATTAGTAAATAAATTATAGCGTAATGCTTCCGATTTATAAGTCCTTAACCATTACCTTCTTTATAATTCAGTTTTCTTTACAAACCTAATTTGCTTCTCTGTGGGTGTCCTTTCTCTGATAAAAGCAGGAGCTTCTTGTTCCCATCGCCAGATCCATTAGCTGATACACCTTTCCTGTCATGGTGAATATTTCTGTTCGTTCCTTTTCGTCTGTATTGCTTTTGCTGGTATACTCTGGAATTTATCTGATCCCGGTTTTGGATAACCCTTAACTATTTAAGGAAATGATTTTTCGTGGCAACCCCTACTGATATCCTCTAACCTGTTTTGTTTCCCGGCTTTGGGTACCAGCCTACCAGCATGTAAAAGTGTTCTCCGACCGTTAAAGTGTAATGGAATTCCATCAAATATATGGCTCTCTGGCTCTGAAATTTCTGACCATTTACAACACACCTCGAACCTAATTAGTTATTTAATGAAAATTTTCTCAGTACCCACCCCGGCACAACAACAATAATTCAATTCTGACTCCAAGAACACAATGGCCACGATAAAACTCCAACGAGGTCACTTACCAAATTTTGAAAGGACTTGAAATGAACTTTGGGCGCGGATCAATAAAAATAATCGTCATTGAGCATGAGACATATCTCTGAATGGTTAAAAGGATCGAATAAACACACGACTTTCATGATTTTCCATTAAAAAATTTATTTTACGACCACAAATGAAAATAAACATAAAATCGTATTTAACAAAATTGGACCACAGCGTCCGAATACACTAACCCCGTATATGCGTTCGATTACAATTTAAACAAATATCAAGAAATCTTCAAATTACTTACAGTTTTAGAGTTAATAATCCCAATCCCAAGCGTGAAACAAACGTTGCCGCTTATTTGAAGATGTAAACCTGTTTTTAAACGTTTTGGAACATGGCGATGGTAGCTGACATTTACTTACTAATTAATCCCGTGCTTAGATTGTCACATTACACCTACAGATTCTTCGTCCAGTACGTTTCGAATTTAAATTTGTATAAAATTGTGTCTATATTTTAAGATCCTCCCACGTTTCGATATAAGATAGATACGCGAAAAAAAAATACATGACGCGATTTTCATATTGGAGTTAAAGACATGGTTTGCTAAAATGAAATAACTAAATATATGCCACATTTAATATGGATACTAATAAAAATTTGCATAAACCAATTTATCTTGTCCCCATTGCACATCGCATAATTGTTTCCACGTTCGGAAGAATGTGTTAATTATTCATCTCTGTTTCTTTTATAAATTTCCTATATACAGAAGAAGTTATAATAAATTGTTGAGGTAACACAGTTTAGAAAGTTCGTTTTTAAGACTTGCGCTTAATATATTTTTAGATTGATTAATTTTATTACGCTATCAGCTGTGAAATCAATATAAATTCCGTTAATTGCATTTCACTAGGTTGTCATTTTGTGTTACTGGAAGTAAACGTCAATTGCACATTTAGAATTACCCTCATTTCGGTTGTGGTTAAGTGTACGGAATTAAGAGAATTTTTTCTTGTAGTTTTGAAGTATCATGACCCTCGACCTCGTCAAGTCGTTCACTGCTTGAAATCCTTTATTAAGTTGCTTTAAAATCTTTTTATCTTCGTCTTTTACTTTCAATATTGTAATTGTAAATTTAATTACATGATTTATTTAGGTACAATTACTCGTAATTATTCTTGAATTTATAACAGTTTCTAAATAGATCGATGTATAATAATACATTATTAAGTAGTTATCACTCATTTGTACACAAATTTATAAATTTGTCAATTTATCACATACGAATGCAAACTTCACTAATAATCACTTCGGCATCGATGTTGACACTTCCATTAAACACGATTCATGGATTGCGATCAGTGGCGCCCCGCTGTCTCTCTGGATTTCTAGAATATTTGCTACAATATTTATTTAATATGTTCTCGGTATCCTGTACATTTCTTTGCTAGTCTTATATTCGGAAAGTTTGTGCATCTGGCGAACTGCTGAGAAATTAACCAAGGTAATGCACTTCATTTATTGTAGTGGAAACAACGTCGTGTAGACGTTCTATTGGTCTAAGCACCAAAAATAATGTTGAAACATCCTGTATATGAGAATATTTAAGTGTAAATCTGAAGGAGTATTTTTGTAAATTGTTTATTTAGATCTATTTATTTAACTGCAAAACGTGAAATTGCATGTTTAAATTGAGGCACATCTGGTCGTTTGCGATAAGTGGTTTTGTTATCGGACGAGATTTAATTAGCGCACGTGTTCTTATGGCTGTTAGAAGAGATGACGGAGATACAGATGTTTACTATGTGCGCGTTTTAAAAAAATTTTGAGGAAGGAAATTACTTTATTGTGGAAGTGTCGGTTCGTTAAATAGTGAAAACAACCAAAAATAGGTTATCTGTTTCGCGACGGTTGAAAAGCGTATACGTTTCTTGGCGCTATTTATTTTATTCGGGCTGTTCGCCCGATTTGATTAGTTGTAGTAGTCTGTCGTTACAATATTTTTGTGCAGAAGAAAGTTAACTAAAGTTGTTTGAGAAGTCGAAGTCGTAGTCGGAGTCTAAGTCGAATTTGAAATCGACGTCGCATCCTTATTTCGCACCGCGTCGCACCGTCGCACCGTTACATCGCATCGCTACAACACACCGCTACATCGGACCGCTGCTTCGCACCGGGAACTAGCAACGGTACTACTCACGGTAACCTCGCATCTAACCTTTATTTGGAGTTACACAAGTTTAATGATTGCGGGTTAAAATTTCCACTAAAGCGTAATAGTTTCAAATTCACAAGTTATCTCTGAAATTCGAGGTCCCCAAACTTTGATTAGCATTTAAAAGTTTACGCGTATGGTTTGCACATATTTCACTTCTCAACCTTATTAGCACGAAATTTCTCTAAAATTAATCACTTTCTCAACACTACAAAGTATTAAACCACTTTGCGGTAATTTACAGGTGGTTGGCCCAACTGCGCTCATGGTTCAACGCGCATTACTATAATTCTTTATTGGTACCCATCCCGTGACCTTAACGTTTCCCACCAATTAGCTAATTTTAAGAACCACTATGTAATCAAACCTTAATTAAGCAGTCGACAAAAAATTACCTTTTGAACTACAGGTCGGTCGCAACGGCCTTGTTGAGCTCAAGAGAGACGCTTTCTGCCAATCTGTATATGTATATGTTAAAGCCAAACACGAAATAGAAAAGTAACGGCGTACACAAAAGAAAACATTTGCCTGTAATCAATGTGAAAGCAAAGACTTCAAGGAGAAGGGGTAGCATTACGTGCAGAAAGGTACAAAGCGTGAACTCTAGCGACAAGATAAAGAACTATGTAAAATAACTTTACTACAACAAGAATAAACTAGTGGATTACAAAGGAGATACCACCTAGATGGCATAAGAATATAAGATTTACATTAGAGCAAACAGAATTTAAATAACCGAAAGTATATATTTCGAATGTTAACAAAAATCCCTTCCATTTACGCAACCACAAATAAGCAGTCGTTAGAAAGACATCTTAGTAGATTCCATTGACGATGTCTTTCCCAATGCTTTAATTGTGACCAGTGCAATTACGCATCCAACAATCATCGTGTAACACGTAACATTTCCGAAGTTTTTAATTGTGAACAGTGCAATTACACAATAAGAATACCACGTCAATCTTTGACACACTACACTTTGAAAAACTTTACCTGCAATCAGTGTAATAACGCTACAATTAATAGCGAAACTCGAAAATACGCTATTATATTCGTTATGGCTGGCTGTCTGGCTGGTTGACGGTCCATTGAATTGATACTGTCAACTTCTCGGACCTCATTTTTGAGTCGCTTACGCCAGGGTTTGCGCATACTCCACGATGTTACATTTCCACTTTCGTCCTTGTCAGGGCGTACTTTAACCATAATGCGGAAGTTTATGTTTACCAATTCAAGTAGGATAATAAAACCTGCCCGTTAAACCGTACAATATAATCGAAACGATTAACATTCGCAATCTGGCAGACGGTGGGGGCCGCATTTTATATCTTCTCGGCAAATAACCCTATTACCGATTATCTTAATATATTATTCCACCTTTATCTATGCGACTCGATTAAATTTACCTACGCGAACAATTTAAGGAAATACAAGTTCCAGTTTACATGCGTTTACCGCAATTATTTCGACAGCCAAAAGGTATTGACCTAAATACCCGTTTGTGAGTACCATTGTTAATTTAACGCGTACATCGCGAGAGAATAAACCGGAAATTTGTGCGACACGTTTTTTAACTTTTAATTATTATTATTATTCCTTTGTTAACAGTAGCGAAAATCAGGCGAGAGATGTTACCGTCGTATTGGATACGCGAAAAGGAAACTGGAAGACCGCAAGGTCCTACATCCGACAGGTGAACGCGACGTTGACAACTTCAGAATTGGCACAACTTATCGTCGTTCGACCCGATGCCTTTTGGGACAAGCAACGGGTCGAAAACTGCACGAGCACGCAGACAGACGGTCAGGTGCGGCGTTAATTAAATCTCGAACTCCATAACCAGATTCATTTCTTGTAGATCAATTTCACCTCGCCATCACGCCTGATTAGATTTATCGATCAACCGCAGCTTCCATCCGAACTAGGAGGTTCGTTTATTTACAATCACAGTCAATGGATCGAGAACAGGCTGGTATGACTTTTTTATATCCGATCATAATTAATCTTCACTTTCTTTAATAATTAATGACTGACATTTGTGAAATTTGTAGAAAGCGGACGAGTACTTCAGGGAATCGGCCGAAGTCTTAAAGAACCTAGAAGAGTTTCACCAACGCCTCTTAAATAATCGGTTATTAAGAGCGACGGAAGTTGTAGATGCCGTTAATGCCAGCAATGAAACCGCGGAGTCCTTGCAGGAGTTAACTGAGAAAAATTTGGAAAAAGGTATGCACTTCTAAGCGAATCTTCACTTTCCAAATTGGGGCTAATTTCAAACTCGCTAATTATGCGACCTCAAAATGCATTCGTTAGTTAAAGATTAATCGTTGCTTTTGCATAAATTATATTTTGACATAATTACCAAACCAATAATGTTCAAGGTTCGTGAATGTTGGATTGCTTATACCTACAGTTTTTCATTTAGTCCGTTGCAGTATCAACTTTCTTCGCTAGAAGAAGTTTGATCATTTCATTTGCCCTATACTATAGTAGTTTTCTATATACAATGTGTTCAAAGTGAAGTCGGTACTATAGTCCGTAAAATGAGCAAGTTCACATATCGGATTAGCGCTTATATTAATACCGCATACTATAGGCCACGGGGCCGGTTATTTAACTAAGGAGTGACCTTGTTTTATGCTGCAAGGTCGTGGTCTGGGATTTCTCTGATGAAAAACCCTGGTCGCGCGGTCGACCGTAAATACACGAACGATAAAAATAGATAACTGATAGAAAGAAATATATTTTTTTTCTTATGTACTAGTACTCCTAATTTTCCTATAATAATGAATAAATCAAAGCTACCTTGTAACGCTATTCGAAGCGCCTATTTTAAATTATTAAATTGGGACCCATTTATATGGATAACTTTACTGAATAAAATAAAAACAACGGAATTTCAACGATATATTACTTGAAAAGAATTGACATCTCTGTTAAAAGGGCCATAAATAAATACATTGCACATAATTATTGAATGTTTTCCTAAGCCAATTTAATTCTAATTACTATTTAACATCAATGAAATGTTTGGTCTTACGATTTAGATTATTAAACGGATCCCAACAAAACAATGTAATTAAAACAATAAAAAATTGAACAATAGCAGTGGTTCCTGAACCCGTTGATTTCCGCCACAATATGCAAAATTGAAGTAGTTTCCTCTGTGTAATTGATACTTCTTAGATTACCCCACCTCGAATGGAATGAGGATCTAATTTGGATAGCCGTTGGATACGTCAGAATTTTCGCGAAGATGGAGAAAGTAATGGAATTTTTCGAAGAATAAATCGCTGTTATGTTATTATAGTTTACATTCCTCTTGAGATTTGACATTTCACCACGCTAGCCGGTTTCTTTACAAGGTGTTTTGCTCCGAAATATCGCCCCAATTCTAGCGCGTGTGTCAACTGATTTCATTTGATTTGAATGAGGCAATACAATCCATTAGACGGAGAAAACAAAAACTACAGCTCGCTATACGTTGGCTAGGGCACAGACTTTATCTGTGGTTAAGGGAAAGAATTTTATCTTATCTTCAATCTTTCCGGGTTTCTTTTCAACTTTGCTATTTTGCTCAATTTTCTGAGTTAAAATTTGTAGAGTTGTTTCACTCTCGGCAAAATAAAGTTGCTAAATTTTACGAATTTTCCAAATTTCTTTGAACTTTTGTAGATTGTTAAATTATTCGACTTTTTATAAATATCCACGTCCATACTTAATTTTTTTGTATTTTTCTAATTTTTCTAAACATGAATTTTTTTGGACACCTTCGGTACCCTTCGGTTTGGACGTGATGATTTTATTTAACCCTATTTTCTGCTTCACTTTTTCTGTTGGTCCGTCTGTTCGTCCGTCCGTCCGTCCATCCGTCTGCCCGGCCGTCCGAGGCCTCCTCCTACAGTTTTCAATATACAGAGTGGCCCAACGAGAAGTATACAGAGGGCTTTTAGGGTATTAAAATAAGAAATTTTGAAAAATCCTCGAACACGTCAATTTTGTATTCGAGGGAGGCAACTTTTGAAATACAAATCACGAACCCAAGTCTTCACCCCTCTACGTAGGGAGCTTAACCCCCAAAAATTTTAAATGGAATCCTATGGCAAACGGCACATTATTTGAAAGCCAATTTAATCGTGATTACTAATCTGCCTTGCTTTTTAAATTCTATTGATTCGTTTCGGAGAACTGACAGGTTCACTTAAGTTTAACAAACAAATTGAAGCGTCAAAATAACATTTTTATACAAGGTGACTTAGATCGCATTTGGTTTGGTTTAGAAAAAACCATTTCAAATGCGAATATCTCCGAAACGAATCAATAGAATTTAAAAAGTAAAGCAGATTAGTAATCACGATTAAATTGGCTTTCAAATAATGTGCCATTTGCGATAGGATTCTATTTAAAATTTTAGGGGTTAAGCTCCCTACGTAGAGGGGTGAAGACTTGGGTTCGTGATTTGTATTCCAAAAGTTGTCCCCCTCGAATACAAAATTGACGTGTTCGAGGATTTTTCAAAATTTCTAAATTTAATACCCTAAAAGCCCTCTGTATACTTCTCGTTGGGCCACTCTGTATTTATTTCGTTATTTTTGAATCCGATAGCTTAGAGTGCTGGCACCTGAGCAAAAAAAAAATCTTGACAATTAATGTGTGCATGCGCAGGCTGCGCAATATCAATTGCCTTATTTATTATTTTGTTAAAATTTTAACCAGAAATACTTCTAGTAAAGGCAAACATATCGCATATTGCAAAAATCAATGTATGCGTGCGCAGACTGTGCAATAACAACATCAACCATCTTATCTGTCGAGATATCTTTTTGAGTTTTTAATAACATATTATGCTTCTGTTAAAGACAAACGTATCTCATATAGTAAACATTACATGTACGCATGCGCAGTCCATTCCAACTATTCCATTTATGAACATACTTTTTTGAAGTTTTAACCATACATGCTTCTAGTAAAGACATATAGCAAAAATCGAAAAATACAAATGTCATTAGTACAGGCAAACACATCGCACATAGTAAAACTCGGGGTGTCCGTATTGCGCGTGTATTTTCTTTTAAAATGTGGGGGAGTCCATGTTTACCCCCATGCAAAACCTCCGTTTACTAAGGTGCGGGTGGTAAAAACAGCAATATTGAAACGCGTTTGTGCTGAAAGAAATTTGTGTGCTGAGATCTCATACCATCAGCCGGACAGATTTTACGTAATTTTTAAATAAAAATCCCTACGCAAAAAAATGCTTACTTTGAAGGTACCTAGCTAATGAAAGTGTTTACACACTTGTAGAATTTTAAATACCAACAGTTTCCTAGGCTTAAGCATTGAATTTATAGTGGCTTAAGCACCTACTAGTACCTAAGCGAATTAGAGAGCTATTAGTTCTTGTACATGCTGCACTTCTGTAAAAAATGGACTAACGCCGATGTTGTACACAGCGAATAACAATTTGTCTAAGTCAAGATACCGTAGAGCTTTGAATCTATAATCAAAGCCTTAGAGTCAGTCAAGTTCATTGTGCACTTTATTTAAATGTTGAGAATTTAAATTGAAAAAATGTCATATAATCTTCTGGGACGTTTCTGTAACGTAAATACACGTTTAACGGTACAAATAGCAACGCCTTATTTTTTATGCATTTCAATTTAAAAACTAGTTTCATGAACCATTGCGTTTGAATAATGCTCGACTTCATTTTCAGGTCAAGAACTTCTCAAAAAGATCGAACACGACAATAGAAACCGAAAATACGCTTCCGAATCGGATTCAATGATGACACCTCAAGATATCCTAGATACGATTCGACAAATTGAAAATACCAGAAGCGACCTACGTAAAAAGCAAACGGAAATCGAGGACGCGTGGAAATTGATGCGGAAAAGTTTCGTCGGTACCAAAGATTTAAACTTGCTGATACGAGGCGTTGTTAATGTGACGAATTGGATTTTGGGACCGGCCGAAAATTTGCTAAACTCGCAACGGAAGGTGGGTCACGACGTTTCGTCGGCGGAGGAGCTGAGGAACGCGCACGAGGCGATCGAGTTGAGGTGCTGGGAGACGTACGGCGCGTATGCCGAGCTTCTGTACAAAATCAACAATTTTCCGAACGATGACTCCGCCGGGCAAGTGAAGGACTTAATCTGGCAGAAGGACTTCATGGACTTTGTGTGCAGGAGTTTCGCCACCAGAATGGAGAGGCGGCGCAATATTCTCATCACTTCCTTGCGATTTTTTCGTTTGGTTTCCGAGTACTTCGACCGCACCAGCGAAGTATTTGAATCGTTAGTTATGGGTAATAAAGTCGACGATTTTTCGGCAGCCAAACAGAAGTTGGACAAACTACAAGCTAGTCAGATCAGTTTAGGTGAACTTTAATCGTGTCATAATTGCGAGAACAATCTTTATTAAATTACAGATGCCATGGAACGCGAGCTAGTCAAAGAGGGTGAAAAATTGTCGGATATGCTTTCGATGCCAGTCAAAGATGCGCTTGGCAGAGAGTTGGCGTTGGACTATTCAGAGGACATCGCCAATATTCGTGATATATTAGACGCGACAAACGCCAGGAAAAATTTGTTTAGCGATAGTGTGGAATTGCAGAAATTAACTTTGGAGCAAGTGACACACATTGACGCCTACGAATGCGATGCCAAACAAGCGATTCAGTGGTTGGATGAACTATTTCAGGTCATGCTTCAGCATCACGGACACGTTGGGATAACGACGTATGAGATTCAGGTCCAGAAAGACGAACATCAAACATTTCAAGAGACGGCAAAGGTAAGCCTCGGATCTATGCCATACTGATAATGACATATAGCTCACCGAAATCTATATTTAAAATAGAAAAAAGGAAACAGATTTTCCTGGTGTTATTGCCCAGATATGAACTTTTGGAAATTGTTTCAACTACACTTATAGTATAGATAAGTAATCTTGGAATCGAGAGTGCGAAAATTAAGTGATGATGATAGGCAGCCCACAATATATTAAGTCTGCCGGCACTTTTTCTAATAATAAGTAGAAGGTTTACAAGTTTCGTTTGGATAGGAAAAGTAGTATTTTTTTGTATTCAAAATCAGTTGACGGTTCCCCCGGAGTACGACCAATTTCGTTTGAACAATCGATTCAAGAATAGGCAACTTTACATACTCCTACTGAAATAAAAATCATTGACATCTGTTATTCAGTTTTTTAGAACATAACTCCAACTTCATACTTGTGTTCAATGTCGAAATTGAAACTCTCTTGTTGCTCTAATTTTGTATCTGATTTGTGGTATTTATTTTTCAGTACAGTATATACAGGATGGGCCATTAGATTGTGGGTGAACGATTGTGGCTTTATTAACGCGCATATTTAAATTCCATTGTGGGGGGAATGTTGGAGGACCCTTAAGCCTACAACCTAAAAATATTTTCATCGAAATTGCAATTGTTATACAGGGTGATTTATATCAAAGTTGCATTTTTTAATGGAACTCCCTGTATATTATTACATATTTCGATTCCTTGGTCAATTTTAGTGTGACTTTATGTATTACACATGATATCTAAAATGAGTCGAATAGCCGCAATTCGTCGTTTTTTCAAAAAGTAGTTGTCCAGTACAAATTGAATATCGCAGTTATCATAAACTTAGAAGGCCGTTACTTTTCAGTGGCACTAATCATGAAATGTACTAACATACGCTGAACAGCTAAAGTAAAACTTTTTTTTGGTTAAAAGAAATCACTTCGTCAATTTTCAAAATTTCAATCAGAGATAACTTGATTTTTTTAAATGAAACTACGAAGTTATTTTTATTGCATGAAATGTAACATTTTATTACATTTCTAACGATATAAGCACGTCGTATGTACCTCTTACCTATTTTTTGTAATTCAACAATTTCTAATAATTTAGTGTTTTTGCGATTTTTAAAGCAACCCAGTAATCAGTAGGCCGTTAAAAATAAAGAACACCAATTCAAATGAAAAAACATTTACCCCCAACAAAACAAAACAAAAACTCTTGTTTGTAGCCCATTTTAAAACATAAAATAATAAATTTGCATTTAAACCATTGCGTGAACTTATAAATAAATCAATTTGAACAGTAAGCCACGAAAGCCATATTACAAAATATTAACACAAAATAAAATGAAATCAGATCTGTCAGTTTAGTTTATTAGCATTTACAATTCTGTTGTTGATTGTTGTGTTAGAAAAATGGAATTTGAATAACATATTTTAAACGGTGCTCGTCACCTTAAAACTTTAAGTACTCTTTTATTCTTCTTCAAAATGTTCTGGTGCACATCGTAGAAGAAATGTGGTTTCAGCACGATGGTGTACTACCTCATTTTGGTATAAACGTTAAAGAATGGCTGAATCAACAACCTGATAGCTGTGGTCTTGAAACATTTCTTGAAATAATTATTTTTCTCTTATTTTTATTTAAACTTTTTATTTTGATTTTTTTAAGTTTTTGTTTTATTTTATTTGGAGTACATTTTTTATAAATTCAATTGTTTATAATATTTAACGACCTATTAATTACTGAGAGGCTTTGGAAATCGAAAAAACTGAATTATTCGAAATTGTTGAATTACAAAAAATATGTAAAAGATAAGTATCGACTTGCTTATATTGTTAAAGAGGTAATAAAATCCTACATTTGATGCGATAAAAAAAACTTGGTAATTCCATTTAAAAAAATCACGTTTCCTTTTATTGAAATTTTGAAAATTGACGAAGTGATTTCTTTTATGTGTAATACATAAAGTCACACTAAAATTGACCAAAGAAATCCAAATATGTAATAATATACAGAGGGTTCCATTAAAAAAATGCAACCTTAATATAAATCACCCTGTATAACAATTGGAATTTCGTTGAAAATATTTTTAGGTTGAAGCCTGAAGGGTCCTTCAACATTCCCCCACAATGAATTTTAAGTATGCGCGTTAATAAACCCATACACTAATGGCCCACCCTGTATATATAACTGTTTACAATAGAGCTTCATGTGTATAGAGTTGATGTTGTAAAAATGGAAGTCTGTTCCTCACTTCATAACGAATCAAGAAACTTGTTTTCGTGTGACTCAACTCACTACCCAAGAAACATTTTTTTGTGATTAATTTACAGGGTTTTTTTTAAAACGAAGTAGAAAACAGTATACCCGCTAATGTAGAGCTAAAGATTATACATACATGCTTCAGCACCAACACCAATGTTAAAAAACGTAATAAAAGTAATTACACATTTTTATTAATGACTGGAAACTTGCTTGACAAAATGTATTTCGCAAGGCTTTTTTTGAATTCCTGTAAAAATATGTGATAAATTCCTACAAAATTATTCCTTAGCCCTGACTCTCGGAACTTCAGATATTTCCAAAAATTTCTTCAAAAGTTGTTCACAGATACGTTACAGGATTTACCACTGTCCAAACTCGACCCACTGTTTTATTACAAAATTGCCATGCAGGGACTTCTGACTCTTTTTTTCGTAGCTAAGCATCATTAACTGATCTGACTAAACTCTCCACCAAATCAACTTTTCCAGATGACACCTCTGATGAACCATGCCAGAAACTCTTTTATTGTGGGCCTGTGGTTGTGGTTTGACCACAATGTGAAAAAATAATTACAACCCCTGAACTGCTCCTGTTACAGTACCCCTTCTATGTTTAAAATTTTATATGCTACAATATTCATAAACTGAAAAACAATAAATCTGAGAGTTTAAAACTCTAATAATGCATCAAAAAAACCTACACCACAAAAAGAAGTCCTAAACTACAAAATAACTGTCCACTACCATTAGTTTTTTTTATATTTCCCTTGCTAATTACTGTTCCTTGTCAGTTTCTGTGTCATGGATTCAAATTACATGGATCTCCATATACTTGTCATTTGTTTTGAAGCCGGTCTCTGTTGATCTGTTACTTCGCGTTTACTAAAACGAGGTTACTACAATGCAAAAATTTATGAAGTCAGTTGGGAATTTAATTACTTTGGAGGAGAAATTACCATTTCGTTTCCCACAAATACTATTAAAGAAGTTCACTATAAAGTGCAGGAACCTCACCTGCAAGTGACTACGTCTACGGGATTGTTTACGTTTGTTGCGCTTTTATTAGGTGAAACTGTTTGTGCGAGTTAGGACATCTACTATGGGAGGGGTGCTTTTCTGTCGATTACTTTAAAAGGGCCCCCACGGATGCTTAAACTTCCGCTTCGCCAAAATCACCGACTATATTCGCGTTTAAGTGCCCTAACTGTTTACCTTTTGTCCTTTAATTATCGTTTCCTAGTCCTTGCTGACAAGCCACGTATTGATTTTTACCGCATATTCCAAGTCACGTTGGAAGGCACTATTATGACCTCTTTCTCTATCCGTCCGTCTGCTCGAGGTCTTAACTACTTCTACAGTTTTTTATTTATTTTTATTTTTTTAAATTTATTTATTTGCCTTTATTTTTGAGTGGGCGAGGTTTTCTAGATATTTAGTTCGTTCTTTTTGGATTCAGTAGCTCTGGAACCTAAATCAAGAAAAATCTTGACGTTTAATCTGCGCATGCGCAGTCTGCGCAATGCCAACTTATTTATAGAGATGATATTTCTTTGAAATTGTTAACCATAGATGCTCCTAGTAAATAGAGACATATCGCATGCTTTGAAAATCAAATGTGCGCATGCGTTGACAAACTTACTTATTTATGGAGATATGTTTGATATTGAAAAAAATGTTTTGCTGCGGATGAAACTATTTACACTCATATTTATACGTATCGGTATCGCTCTTGTAAAATAGGACCTAATACACGCTTTACCTTACTACAAGATATGATATAAATACGTAACTCGCGCTAGTATAAGGTTTCATTCGGTTGCGGTAGGCACATTTTACGGCCTCTTCTTGTTCTTATCTTAATTACAATGACCCGCTTCATTTACCTCAACCCGAATATACACACATACTACAGTGTAAATATTAATTTACTTTACATACATCGGAAATAAAATTGCATTTCTAATCGTGCTTGTTACTTTCTATGGCTAATTCCATTTTAGCTTCCTTGCGGTTAAATAAAATACCAACTTGGGTTATTTATATTTATACAGACGCCTTCAGGCTACATAAATAAAATCATTTTCCTGGAATCGTCATGAAACCTTCATTTGCATGCATACTTTATGTCAGGAAATTTTCGTTTCCATGACAGCGGCAATAACATCTTTTCTAACTACTTTTCCTACTTCCTGTCACGTTACCAGACTCGTGTCAAAACCGACACATTAATAATAACAAAAAGGTCTACATGAAAATTTTCATTTTTTTATATTAAAAAAGACATCAGTAAAATAACTTCACTTGGCAGTAATGTGCTAGTTTCCTGGCTCTTATGTAATGTATTTACCTACATAAAAGTCAGGAAAATTTCACATTGCTGGTGAGAAAATAGTGAAGTTGGGGCCGAGTACGTTAATTTCCCAGGCAAGTATTGTCATTTTACCGACGAGTTTTGTATTAAATTTTACCCGAAATCGTATTTTAATATAAAATTTCAATTTCATATAGAACTTTTTATTAATGGGCGCGTTCATAAGACACAACTGTTCTGGAACAGTTACTGATACGTCTTATAATTAGGTCGCTACTTTTACGCTCTTTACGGAGCAGTCGGCCATTTTTAGTAGCGCTACATACGTCAAAGTAGGGAACGTGACATAAGACCCCCAACTGTTACCGATACGCTACGAGGTAGCGTAGCGGTAACTGTTGTGTCTTATGAACGAGCCCAATGTTAATCTGCCAGTGATGACACGAGTCATTATAGATATTTGGCAATGTGACAGGTGCGGGCGGAAATGTGACTGATGCGGTCGGTAAAGTAACAGGCGACAGGATCTGCCTCTGTCTTGGAAACTAAAATTTCCTGGCATACAGTAGACATGAAAATAAAGGTTTCATGGCGATTTTGGATAAGTAATTATTTCAGAAAAGTTTGTCATAATTCCGAAATTCAGATTTTAGGACCAATTAGCTTGAGTGGAGGTGGAGATCAACAACAAAATTTTGGATAGTGGGGCACAGACAAAAACATACCCCAGGCAACTTTGAAATATTTCAATACTGCCGTTAATTATAAAAGGCTCAACTGAACACATAGTTTACAGTTTGATCTTTGCAGCCTTTTTCGGTCAGGAACCCTTTCCATCATCTTTTAATCTGTTCCGGAATCTATAAAAATTATCTTCCTCTTACAATCTGGATTTGCCTAAATCAATTTTATCCAATTCACAGGCTCCATCGTATACCATCTTTAAGTTTTAGAAAATTGGCACCAACAGCCGCTTTTCATACTCAAACATTTCACGCGGGTTACTCTTCCAACATTTAACAAGTCAAAACATAACTTACGGATACCTACGATAATTTGTGTCGATAGGGCATGGAAGATTTTAAACTATACAAATATTTCCAGGACACCTACAATTACGGCTGCCAACTTTTGAACGCTTCGCTGGCCCTTCGACAATCATGCAAGTTGCCTACTCAAGATCACGCGATCTTGTATCAGAAATTGAAGTCTTCCTGGCAAAGACTCTTAAACGTCAGTCAAGAACAAATGACACGTCTTCGAGTCTCCGCCGTCTTCCATAGATCCGTTGAAGAACACTGCAACCAACTGCGGGACCTTCGCGAGGCTGTCGCCACAATGCCTCTGGAAGAGATGTCCAAAAAGCAAACTAGAGTTCGAAACTTTTACACCATACGAGAGAAGCTTCTGGTCGAAGTTGGACGGATGGTTCGTCTCGGAAAGCTGCTGAGAAGTCGACTGCGGGAATCTATTTATTTAAATGAAACGTAAGTGCCAATTTGACAACTCGTTGCACGTTATCAATCAGAGGGTACAGCTGCATAAGTCTTAAAATGTTAATGTTGGCAGCTTGAGACGTTGGTCAAATTATCGTCCCTAATTAAATTAACTGGTAATTCCCACTTTTCAAACTTCCGTAGTCAAAACAATCACGCTCGAAAGTCGAGATTGAAGGTGGATAACGAATGACGCTTAAAAATAGGTGGGGTTGTGTAAATCAGCAGTGGCTCCTAAACCTGCTCGAGCTCAACACCGTGCAAATTTCGGTAAGTGTATTTGATTTCATTACATTTTCCTCCAGTTTTCCTTTATTTGTATTTGTTGAGCAACAACGCGTGGAGGTAGACGTCACAAGCGTCTTAGCGGAACAAATCGAAAATAGAAATGTTATAATTAGACGTATTTCACTGCCATGTGTTTCGCTTTTCAATTGTAATCTCCGATTTCTTTCGCTTATGTCCAAGAACAATAAACAAAGTTTTCAAAGGTTATTGATAATATTTTGATGTATTGCAATAATTATATTAGTCGTTGTTTAAAAGATAAAAGCCATGTGTGATGAGCTTTGCCAACGATCTTGAGCTATTAACGTCGGCACCTACGTAAACGGCAGTTTCATTTGGTTTAGTACATTACTAAAGTATCACCATATTCCAGTCAAAGAAGTTTAAAATTCTGAAAAGGAAATTCTGTAGGTCCAAATTAGTTTTCCTTCTTTTTATCCTTCAGAATGTTGATTTCTGAGTTTGGATAATTGAAGGTGTAACAGTTAGTTTTGGCGTAAGTGTAAAAGGTAGATCGGTGTATGATGTGTGACTCAGAGTAGGGATTTTGGTCTATTTTCGAAATGGGTGCGAGATCTTTTTGGTAGAACGAATAATGGCGAAAATGCAACCCATGGAATACTCAGATTAGAGAATCGTAGGTGATCAGTTTTAGTTTAGTGAAGGCATTTCAGAATCAGTTGGGGAATGAGGGCTGGAAATATGTCGTTCCTAGCAACGGTTGGAGATTGTACGAGCGTGTCTGGATCACGTTCATGCCGGTTACCCTGGTATGATGTTCTTACAGAAAGACAGAGGCTACTTTTGGTAATGATGAAATCGTATATCTAGAAATATGTTCGTAGGTGCACCGTGTGTCTCACTAATAAACCCTAGCAGCAGAAACATGAAGGTCAAATGACTGTTAGGAAGGTGGTTAAAGAGCCGTTCCAAGTAATCTCGTTAGTCGTTAGGTCTTATTGGACCGCTGCTGCTTAGATCGAAGCTGCTTAGGTGCTATATTAAGGAAAACCAACAGGATTGGAATAGACATCTGTCGAAGTTAACGTGTGCTATTAAAACTCAAGTCTCCACGAGGTGACTGGGCATATTCCTTATTTTATAGCATTTGGCAGATATTTTTCAACTAATATATTAGGGGATAGCAGCTGATTTTGATCTGAGCATGGGACATTACGAGTAAGGAGTTAGTGAGCTTGTCGATAATGTGGCACTTCGGTTGGAGAGAGCAACAGAGATAAATAAACGTCATTGTGATTTAAGACGCCATCCTGCTACTTATGAGGCTGACAAGGTCTTTCGAAGGAATTTTCCCCACTCGGAGGCAATCCAACAGTTCACGGCTAAGTTAGCGCCAAAGTATATCAGACCCTTTGTTATTTTTCAGAATGTTTCACCGTTCATGTTCGAATTGTAAGATATGGATGGTAGGTTTAGGACTTTGTCCAGATTCGCGAGTCGTTTTTCCTGTAGTGTTTGTTGGTTGGGGACGTTGGACAGTCCATTTTAGAAGTCGTATCCACTCTTTTGCTTTCGGAATCCTTGCTCGAAGATCAGCCCCCTTGTTATCTACCCTTTATTCGCTTTTTTTAGAGTGGATTTTCTGTACAATTATCCTCTATGTACTTTCCTGGGTTGGTAACTTTGGGTTAGATGTTTTGGGTTCGGTGGATTGTGGTCTTCATTATTAGAAATAGAGTGGAGTGTGTCGGGGCTTAGGATCGCTCCCCTGGATTAATGTGTTTTTGTGTAGGTACGAGTTTACCTTCCCAAAAATATTAGTTAATATAGTTAATTTATTTGGTTTGGGAGCACTATCGTTTCACGATAGTCTTCTTTTTTTGCTGCATTCTTGAGGCTGAGCCGCGGTTGTGTCGATTTGCCGAGGTGGGCCTTGAGAGTCGGTCGTTTAGGAGTGTATGGTTGAGATGCATTTTGTGTTGATATGACTCTTGACCTAGGGATACCAGAGGCACCAGCGCTGGGCACTGCTCGCGAGCGTTTCGCTCGAAAAACTGCTCTAAGCGGAAAAAGCGCTTGCAAGCGGAGCGCTTGCGAGCACTTTTCAGAACGGCCGCTTGGTTGGGTTTACTTAAAGTGCTCGACGATCGAGCGCTTTTTTCTGCCCGCGAGCGGTTTTTCCGCTCATGAACGTTTTTTTCTCGCTCGCAAGCTCTTTTTTCGCTCGCGAGCGTTTTTTCCGCTCCCGAGCGCTTTTTCCACTCCTTAGCGTTTTTTTCCCTCGTGAGCGCTTTTAACCGCCCTCAAGCGCTGAAGTATTAAGCGCCGCTCGCGAGCGTTTTTTCCGCTCCCGAGCGGTTTTCTCCGCTCCCGAACGCTTTTTCTGCTCTTGAGCGTTGTTTCCGCTCACGAGCGGTTTGATAAACCGCACGAGATCTTTTAGTAGTGCTCGGAACTCGCAGGCGGTTTCGCTTTGCAAAACAACTCGATGCTCGCGAGCATTTCTGAGAAAATTAGAGCACTCGTCGCTCGAGCGGATTTTTAGAACGCTTGATCCAGCTCTGGTTGTCACTATAGGTGAGGGGGGGGGGGTCGTTTTTGGTAAGGGATATATTGCTGATAATTCCTGTTGAAAGTCTTGCGGAATGTGAAAATTCTTAGCTACATCTGGTAGCTGCGATGCTCAGAGCTTATTAGCTTAATTGAATCAATGTGTCAGATCAAAATAATCCCCCCTTTAGTTACTGAGTAATTCTTACTCCCAAAAAATGTCGGAATTATTTTTTTAACATGGCAATGCTGAATATCCACTGGTTAGTCACTTTCTTTTCACCATTACTGCACGGCTTTCGGGGTTGTAGCTTCATCTCAAAATTGAAGAACTAGCATTTTCTCACAGTCTGATTCCCAATTAGCTGAGTTGCAAAAATAACTAAAGCAGGCTAATTTACAGAGTGTAATTTAAACCCAGGCCCAGACAATGAGGCGACCAGCAGTAATAAGAGCACTCAGATAACTGATTGCTCCGTTTTTAAAACAAAAAAAGCACTATCGGGAGCTAAAATATACTAAAGATCTAAAGATAAAACTGGAGTGACTCTTTTTTATTGCAGTTTAATGGAAAGCGAAAATAGCACAGATGCCGACAAGAACTTGGAGGTTCACGACCCTTCAGTTCAAGACAACGCAGTGGCCGTTGAAGCGATCACCGAAAAGTTAGCGGAGGTGACCAGCCTTGCGGAAGAGATGGATCAAGCCCTGCTCAGCGCCCAACAGGACTGCGGACTTTTGACGGCGACTAGTTCGACGACCACGAGCGCTTCCACCACGCCCACCACCGTCGTTTGCATGAGCACGAAGGCGACTTTCGACGACAATAGTTCGTATAGTGAGGTATGGGAAAATTGTTTAGATACAAATATTTTGGGAATGACTAACGCCTATCGAGCATTCACATTAAATCATACACGTATTTTTAAATTACATTTGTCTAGTTTGGTTGTCTATTTAAAGACGGGTCGGATTCTTCGATTTTATTATATAAATACACTTGATGCTGAGGAATTAAAGACGGCTGTGTTACAAAATTAAGTATTCGTTCTTGAGGACTTTCAAAATAAAATTTAAAAAACACATTAGATCTCAAGTATTTTCAATTTACTATTCATTATTATTAAACGCACTCTACACTAGGGTAATATTTATTTCTGCAATTACTGCTTTACAACGTTATTACGCACATTTCTCACCAAGCGCAAGGAAAGTGAAATACAGTTTGAATTAATTTGATTTGTTTTACGTTGCTTCGCCTTGCCTTTCCTTGCCTAGCCTGGCCTCGTTCCGCCTCGCCTCGTCCCATTTTGTTTATTGCTTTACTTTATACTTCACTACACTATAACTTCACTTTACTTTACTTCACTTCACTTCACTTCACTTCACTTCACTTCACTTCACTTCACCTCACTTCACCTCATTCACTTCATTCCACTTCACTTTAGCGGTTTGTTCAAAAAAGAACTCTCTGTATCCTACGTCTAATCGTAAAAGACACATGTAGGAGGTAGGAAATGTATTCACTTAAAAAAAACTTCATAAATAGAATAAATTAAACAAATAAAACAAAAATCAAGTACTTAACAACTAACAATTCTCATTTGTTGTAGGAATCTCTACTTCCATCGAAACCGCTAAGAACGGAAGACCTAAAGTCCGACGACGAATTCTTGACGGCCTCCGAATGCACATTCCCCCACTCCCGATCGTCCTCCTACAATACGGCGTCCGAATGCGAAAACCGCTACTCACCATGGTGGGATTACGACAAGAAGGACTGCAAAGAGAACGTCTCGAAGGAGAAGTTGGTGCTGGGCGTCGGACTTCCCGAGTTGCCGTCCGCAAAGTCCGTCCTCAAACCATCGCCCGAGGTACCGCCGGGCAAAATCGTACGCGAGGTAACCGAAACGACGCATTTAAAAGTCCAACATTCCCACTCCATCGGAGTGTCTTCGTACGTGTTGACGTCAGAGGTCGCGCGCGAGAAGGATGGGGGTGCGTGCTCGACGAGCGAAAACTTTACGTGCGTCGATGCGGGTTCGTTATTGGAGCGTATGCGACAGGTAGGTGAGAGTGTTGATGAAGATAAGTGGAGGAAGTATCAAGGCGTTACTAAAAAGGCAATTAGGGGTTGTTTTTGATTTTTATTTTTTAATGATTAGGAGCGCTTTGTTGAAAGCTTGAGAGTACCTTAATAATGTAAATGTGGTGTGCTATTACTTGCCATAATTTGTGTTGTTATGCATAATTAATCGGTTGTCAGTTTTTTTAAGTTTTAATTTTGAGAGAATTTTGCTTATGGCCAATTGTCATAAGAGTCAGTTGCATGTAAGACTTTTGAGTAACAATGTTGTTGTGATGCTTATTTGTTGTATTTCTATTATGTGTTACAGTCTAATATATTTTTGTTGCTCGTGGTTGTGGTTTTTATTTATTTCTCGTACTAAGCTTATAACAAGTGTTTGGCAAACAACTGATAGCCATTCATTATAACGAAGATTAAGAAGTATGTACCAAGAGATGAATCATCTGCATGTTGGTAAATATTTGGAAATAGATATATTTTCCAATTACGAGTAGGTATCTACTTTTCAGTTTTAAAATTGTATTTCGGGTAAATGCTCTCATATCGAAAAAAAATAACACACTAATATCACCTAATCTTAAGCAATCGGTTATTCAATTACTTAGCCGCTGCCAAATATTATACATCGTTTACGTCTGTGCATTTCATCTTCAAAAATATACTGTTAATATAACTGTTGAGTGCCAAAGATCTATTTTAAAAGCTGTCAATAATTTAACATGATTTAGCAACGGGGTCATTCATTAGCTCATGCTCATGACATGAAAATTACTAATTCTAGGATTATTAGACGAAATGGACTATTTTCCGTATTGTATGAACACTATAACTATCCTTTTCATTGCCTCAATTTGCAGCTTCACGAGTGTGAATCTCTGTCTAAAATCTGGTGACATGTTTTGTTAACTTAATTTCAGGTGGCTATTTAAACACCTCTACAGCACCAAAACTGGTATACTCAAAAATTCGATACAACCGAACGATCCTCGAGATCTTCACACATAGATCATTTTTACAATGCACCTTAAGGGGTTGATTCTGTCCCACCAGATCAGCATGGATTGTAAAACGAACTTTTGAATCGGCATTAGTTTACATGTGCAAAACAAATTTTTTGATTCTGCACTAGTTTTACGTTTATTTGGGGTGCCTACATACAAAATTTCATCTAAATATCTTAACAAATAAAAAATACGACTACGCATGCGCAAAACAAATTTTTTGATCCGTATCAGTTTTCCTTTTATTCGAGGTGCCCACATACAACATTTTATTTAAATATCTTAAAAAATAAAAAAAACAATTGCGCATGCGCAAAACAAATTTTTTGATTCGGCTCTAGTTTTACTTTTATTTAAGGTGTCTACATACAAAATTTCATGCAATTCGGTTCACAACTAATGGAGAAGTAAAAAAATCGGATTGCGCATGCGCAAAACAAATTTTTTGATTCGGCATTAGTTTTACTTTTATTCGAGGTGCGAACATACAAAATTTCCATTTAACATCGTAACAAATAAAAAAATTGGGATTGCGCAAATATAAAAGTTGTAATGCGCATGGGCAATATTTTTTTGCATCTGCATAGTTCCCTGAAGTTTAAGAAATATTTACCAACACAGAAAACCGGACATTCATATGTTCTTTGTAACAAGAGTTATAAGAGAAACCCTTTTTGGAGGTTGGGCGGTAACTTTTTGGCACGTTTGTCTACGTAGCCAAAAAACAATAGCGACCTTTCATATATCCCGAAGAATATGTGTATCAATTTGCAAAATGATCGGACGTTTCTACACAAAGTTATCGTGCACACAGACAGACAGACGGGCGGACGGACAGACATACGGACAGACAGACAGTAATAAAAAATTATAAACGATCTCGAGGATCGTTAATAAAATATCTTTGGCTTTCACGGTGTAACAGCTTAGTTACGTTTAAAAGGGTTAAAGATCCCACTAGCATCAAATAAAATGTAACCTCTACGACACTGGCGAAAACTCCAACGACAATTAACTTTTATTTAACCCACAGTTAGCACACTAATAAAGAATCTTCTTACACCCCTTACCCAAATCCTTTGCTTCTCATCAATAAATAAATAATAAATTTGTCTCATTCAAATAATTTTCATGGGTCGATTCCTTTAGGAATATTAAAATTACTTTGAACAAAAATCCCACTATTGTATACAAATCAAAAAAATTAGGATAACTTACAGTTACTGACGTGGGTAATATGTTGCAAAATTAATTGTCTTTAAACTCCTTGTCTTATGCCGTTGTATACAATTTTTTTTATTTATCGCATAATGCGTTATCCAGTGACGTCACTCAACTGTAAGGAACTTGCTTTTAACCAGCCGTTACTGTAAGCGACCAGAAAAACTTCTTTGTCACGATGAGTTTCATTATTTGGTTCCGTTTTTTATTTGAAAAACAATTCTCCGACTCAAAAATATCCCTTCGTTTATATTTTACCACACGTAAGTAAAAGGCTGACGAACAGTTTTTTTTTGTTCCGGAATCTACTGTAATTCGCTGCAGTCAGCGATATCTGGGCGCCATCCCCGAGGGTGGGTTTACTAACGTGGTGATTTTTCAGTTTTTTTATTATACCTGAATCACAATCTCCGTTTTAAACACCCAAATGCGTGCGAAAAAGGGCCTTTAAAACACACGTGCTTTAAAGTTGCTAAGTAACGATACTTCAAGTAAGTATGACTTTTGAAACTGTCATCTGGATGAAATAAAAAATCCTCTTAGGTCGCTTTCTGTAAATGCAGAACATTTCTTTGGCTTTTGCACCTATCCTTTCGTTGAAGCTTTCACAAACGCGCATAATTTAGGGTATGCTTCCAAATCTGGTCCACTTTTTAATCGCAGCATTGCTTTAAAGTTTTGAATGAATGCACCAAAATATAGAAGATTTAAATACCTTTGACATTTCCTTCATATATGCCAGCATTATGGATGCATTTAAGACTGTATTCGTAAGTAACTTCCTATTCATCCATGGAAACAACTTTTCATATTCTTTATAATAGGCTTTACTGGAGTTGGATTTTACACCTACCAACGTTTGTTTAGATTTTACAACAATCGATTTAATGGACGGTGTATTATCTTTTTCAACGGAAATCGTTTAATTCACAAAGACGACGATTTTTATAAGCAAACGTCAAGTGACATTTCCATGGCAATCGTGAAATTACGAACACCCAGCCCACTTAATTAGACATGTATTCGAGTATAACGTCAATATGACTTCATTGTATTTCCTATTTTTAAATTATACTGCAGGTATAATAAAAAATACTATAAGATACACGTGTATAATTAGTCTTTAAAGCACTTGCAACGTTAAAGGCACTCCGCTTTGCGTCGTGCCCTTAAACTCGTTGCGCGTGCTTTAAAGACTTGATTATACACTTGTATCTTAATATACTATTTCCTATCTTTTTGATTTTGTAAACACGCACAACTCCTGCGTGACGGAATTTTGTTTTTTTCTAAAAAATTAACAACCTTTTGCAAAGCGCGCGTCTTCGAAGGGTAGTCCACTTCGGAAGTCCAAAAGTTTCCTAATGCTCGATTCGCGGTTTCTTTCTCGTGTTTCGAGCCAAGAGGGGAGTACTATTTCGTAGAGGGTTTTTAACCACATCCACCAAAATGCGAATTGCGAGTGAACGGGACGTCGAAAGTCGATACTGACAAAGGGAGTGTGGTAGGTCTCGACAAGATCTTATACGACAGAGTCAAAACTAGCTAATAAAATACTGATCTCCCTTGGATCTCACACGAGGAGTTTGATTTGTTTCTCTTGACTGTGAAGGCAGCCACACGCACCCAGTACCTATATGACCAAAATACCTACGTGAGATTTCGGTTCAATTCGTCTGATAGTATCTCCAGTTGTGGACAAATGACGATCATTAAAATTGCCCAAAACAATATTTTATAATAAACGTAATTAATTAACCTTGTTATAATTGAACAAAATTGGCGGTCATTACAAGTTTTAATTTGCTTACAACAGGTGCTACGTTGTTATTATTATGAAATTGCGAGCTATGCTCTTTGGTGTACCCGTTTCCTAATCACCTGCCTATAAATAATATACGGTACAAACTTTCCTTTTGTAAAAGTTTTTAAATTTGAACATTCATTACTCGTCTTATATAAAAGAGAAATTGTAACATTTTCACACAGTTTGTGTGTACTGCTTGTTCAAATTTGGGTAGCTAACATCATCATATGCACGATACACTCACAATTCATAAAACAACAAAAGTCATGGCTATTGCTACAAATAACAGAAATGTTGAAATTTATTTTTAAATTTGCGAGTATACCAAAAGCTTAATATAAAACATGTAAAAACAGTTTTGTATGCACCTTTCTGAACAACTTTAACTCTACGGTTTTTTCTGTAAAATGTACAGGAGAGCAGGATATTGCATAAAACTAATTTCCCATGTTAAATCCCTATGTTCCTACTTACCGTGCACCACCCGGTATATGATCTAATGAACTAAGATTATTTTGCACTTTCTTCTACTATTTAAACGTGTGTACCGGTATTCCTATTACAATATGTCGAATTCGTCGATTGTTTATAATAGCTTTAGTAGTACAGTGGCTGTATGGGAATATTGTAGTGAATATTCTAGAAATCCAGATAAACATGGAACCGTCATAAAAGATTGGGCACGATAAGAAATGAAAGCGGATGTGACGCATCTTTTCCGGGAAATACGATGTGTTTTGTTCGAGAATATTCGGTTAACCGCACAAAATTACTTATTTCCCAATACAGTTAAAAATTTGCGGGATCCCGCAAATACCGGGATTAAAATTTTGCTGCGGGATTGCATTCCCTAACCCGCAGATAACGGTGAATTTAACCCAAGGTTAACGCCGGGCCAGAATTAGTATGTAACGTAAAGCATGTATGGAACTCGAACCCTAAAAGGTA